TTAGATTGTCTTTTAAATACACCTGGAGGAGGGCTTTTATATTTTTCAGATGCAGAGGTTGGTCTGGTGGCATATATTAATGAATCTATTGCAGTATCTGTGATGTAATCCTACAGAAATAATTTGACTGCAAAGGCAGATTGTAATCACTTTAAACTTCCTACTTACTTTTGCTGCTGCTCTGTACCGTAAACCCTAATATCAAAAATAATATGCAGATTCTGCAATAGATTTGTTAATATGTACCATCAGACCCAGTATAATAACCATTGTAGTTATACTTCAGAAATGAAAGCAGCTGTTAGATAATCTTGTCCTAGTTTAGTAATTATACTGATTACCTTCTGTGTGTTGGGTTAAAGTCTTTCAGTATGTTACCACTTGGAGGCACTAAAACACTTGACATATAGGGTAGCAACTATTTCTTTTTTGAAACAATTGTTCTCGAAAGTTTTAAGAGCAATAAGAACCAATACCCACTAAAATAGAATGGAGAAAGTGAAGAGAGAAAAAAGAAAAAGCTAAAAGTGGAATAAGAAAAAAAGTAGAAACAAGTAAAAAAAAAAGATATAAGGCTTCTGATATTCTTCACAGCAGTTATAAATACAATTATATTTTAACCTCTCTCTTCAAAGTTGCATATCTTTTTCTATAATATAATCTTTCTATATAAACTTCCTATCATCAAAGCCATAAATCACAAGTTCATTTTTTTAATTTTTACAGAAAAAGTCTATAAGAGGTTTCCAGTCATCAATAAATGTGGATATTGTTCCTTTCTCTAATCAAAGAAGTCAGTTTGACTGCACCCTAACCGTCTTACGAATTGGTAAATGCCAGATTAGTTTGTTGGCAAGCTGACAGTAATATTCAGCTTCTTGCTTGTGTAAGATAAGTGATGGTAACATAACAAAGCTATAGGTGAGAATGCCAGTTAGAGTTTAATAAGACCGTGTGACTCAAGGAGAAATCCAGTTCTGAATTGTAGTCCCATTTTACAAGTTTGAGCTTTTTCTCTGCCTGTTGAGTAACTGCAATACTTGGAAAATGCAGATCAAGTTTTCACTATGTTTAAAAACTCTCGCTGTGTTCTAAATGTAAAATGTGATTGCAGAAAAGACACTCCTGTATTTCTGGAGGGACTTCCTTAAGGCTACCATATCTGAATTGCAGAAATGCAGAATGGCCACTATAGGTGACAGTGGGGTACAAAAAAACACTAACTTTTTGCTGCCATCAGGTGACTTCTGGATTTGTGTGGCCTTTTTCTTCCCAGTCTTGTAGAACTGGGCTTGTTAGATCCTCCGTGACTTTTAACTTTCTAAATGAATACATTTATTCTACTAAATACTAAATTAAGGCATTTATAAGCCATTTCAACCCCATTGGAGTCTAAGCGATTTATAATGTATATGATAAAATGCAGTAATAATTATACAGTGTATATTATGTTATTGTTACATATTATACAATTATTATATTATACATATATGTGTATTATATAAGTTATATGTAACTTATATAATAAAAAGAGTAATCCTAATAATAAAGCAATAGAAAATAAAAACTTAAAATAAACTTACATTCCAGAAGATGGAGTAATAAAACATATGTAAGCTTGCCTAAACTCACCTGAAAGATAGAGTGTGATGGTACTGAGGGGCGGGATCACCTTGCAACCCACCTTAAGGTTTCA